GTTTCTTCGATTAGACTATTTTGTATATAAAGATGATGGTGCATCATTCTATAAATGCACTTAAATTCCGGTCGAAGAAACGATGCCATTATTTACGTCGTCACGCACTGAGGGAAAGAAGACGCAATAGAGAGATATGCATAGAGAGGAAAGAAAGAATGAAAAAGAGCGGTTGGTTTATGTACATCTCGAGTTGGATTGCACATATAAGAAATACATAACGTATAAACGCTATGATCAACCTTTTTATTTCGTCTTTTGATGAGTAGATAAAGGGGTTTATCGCATGCTGCTAAACGGCAGAAAAGGGTATATCATACGTTGCATTTTCATAAACGATTTAAACGTTTATCATTCGGCGCTTTTTTTTATCAGTGTAGGACAATCATGATACTATGTCGCTTCAGTGGCATTGACATTTGCAAAGACTCAAACGAATTAATTATTAACTTGAAATAAATTTTTACCAAAATAAATCTTTATTTTCGTTCGATACCTCATGCTGCTGAAGCTAAAACAATTTTGTTTGCATTCTGCAGTCGTCATCATTTTAGTTCAGAAAGAAAAAGAATCATTTTTTTCACTGTGAAGTCGCTTATTTCATCTGAATAATGGAAGAAATGTCGACACGCAAACGTATAGTATCGAATCAATACGTATGTTATAACGGGTAGGTATCGTAAGCAATTTCTATTTTTGAAAGAAAATATCCTACTCTTTAGATGTATAGCCGATAAGGAAGATCTGTCTAAAGAATGGACGAAGAAAATTGATTTACTAGAAACAAAAATAAATAAACGAATACTAGAAATCGATCGAAACCTGAGAAATCAAATAAATTATCTGGAAGATGAACTTAATAGAAACATAATGACTCGCAATGAATCAGATTCAAGAGACAAATTGCTGCATGAACAAATCAACAAACTCAGTCACGCTATATATTATACTCTAAAGCAATCTATCCCGTCGCATGATACACAGGCATGTATGGAAATGGTTGCCACACTAATGAGCGAACCACGTCCTTTTTCCGGGGAAACCATACGAAATCGCGAACGGATGAACCGCCTGAAGAATTACTGCATCTTCTTTCTGCTTGGATTATTTAGTTGCTTCATATTTATCGGCATGATTATCATAAAATAAAAATGAAAAATTTTATTCAATTAAATGCAGCATAATAATAAATTATGTTTTATCAAATTCATAGCAATTCGAAAAAACATAACATTGAAGATGTTCATTTCTATTGATGCAAATTTTCGATCCTAGTGAGGATCATCATCAGACATATAACAATGTCGATATAATATCAATGAGAATGCCAATAACATTGATATTCGAAATTCTAATTTGTCGAATAGCTGCTCATAGTAAAAAATCATTTCCTATTTTATTATATTTTTTACATTGCCTCAACTCAATGATTTTATAGGCATGATTATTCCTTCTATGCCGAAAAATAATTAGACAAATTAATGACAGACGTTTTTTTACCTACATAAGTGAGAAAGAGCATTATACAGATGGTGTGCGTGTGTATTTCCAGCTGAATGGAACCATCACATCCTTAATCCCATCAAAAATCTCTAACTTTTAACACATACAAGCAAATATGAATATAGTTATCTCGAACCAACAGGATCTATAATATGTCTCCAGCCATACAATCTCACTTATGTGTATATCGGGAATAATAGATAATTTTTGATTTTAATAACTCATTTATCTTATGAATAATCAATAAAAGTTAAAAGGTTCTGTAGATAATCAGATTTACATGTAGATTTTTGTTACACACGTAAACTATTCTATTTTTAGCCGAAGGTTTAGTGACTTTTGAACAATTTTACTTATGTCAACTTAATTAGAGTGACATGAAAAGATAATCCTCTTCAAAAATAAGAATAGTTGGCAAAATATTGAGAGAAATCTGTTGTTTCTTTTCTTCTATTAGAAGTCTGGTTCAAAAAGCCTCTACCAGCAAATTCAGAAATATACCATCCACTTCGACAAGTAGCTCATTTGGGAAAAGAACGTTTTTTTAACATTTTAATTAAACTCAGAAAGCTTTCCAATTTTTCTGCTGGTTTACAATGTCATCAGGAACTTTTGAATCAAAATAGGTTTGCTTCAGCTTAAAGAATATAAGGGAAAATCTATGAGCTGACTGTCAAATGTTTAACATGACAAAGAAACGCAGTGACCTGCTGAAAATAAGCCCAATTGAATCTCTAACAGAGTTTAGTACGAAACATAATAGAGCCACTTGGATCATGCTCAAGAGTTTTTTTGTCATACTTGTCATTATTCTTGTTGAATTTATTGATTGCATGATGAAGTGCTTCGTGCTCCACAAAATCGATGAGATTGTCGGATTATCGCTTTCTACGAATAAACAATTTTTTTCAATTTTTTTTCAAAACACAAAATAAAACGGAAAAATTCATTTATAAAGTGACTATTAAAGCTATGACTGTATGCTAAACACTCTAAAGACACGTCGACGATAGGCTCTTTGTATATAATATTCATCTGGTAAGTATTCAAAAGTCCCCAACATTCATGAGACATCGAGCATGTTAAAAAATATTGTTTGTGGCTTGTGAAATTACTCAACATTCAAAAATGTATGCGAGTAGTAGAGTTCGGTCAAAAGCATCTCTATTGTGCACTGAGATTAGTATTTTTCTCAAATCATTTGCATCCGTAGAGATTACAAGGTAGTTAATGATTCATTAATAAGCAGCATCTCAGTAATTGTTTTAAAATAAATGTAGTTTTAATTTATTTTGACGTTGTAGCTAAAGGTACCCATGTAATCAAAATCGTGTGGAAATCGAAGATTTATCATGCCGATTAATTGTGAGATTAATCGTGATTTTTCCTGATTTTTTTTACCGATTTTCGAAAATTAATCGCGAATTTTTTTCTTCACCAGTAAACGAGCTTCACACCCGCCTTCACGCTAATACTTTCCTATTTGTTATTTTGTCTTACTCACTACGACTTTTAGGTTGCACAAAGCGTCTTCTTCACTTTATGGTGATTGTTTATTTTCAAATGAAATAATAATAAGCCAACAAGATTAAAATAGAAAGAGAAAAATCGAAAATATTTTCACGACATATAAAAAGTGGTTTAATATAAAACAAGAACAAATCAAAAAGAGTTTTAAGCATAAGAATGAACACGATTAATACGTATAAAATTTAACTTAAATAACTTGTTTGTTCTTAGCTTCACCTTGCTGTTCATTATTGTTGTAGTTGGTAGCTTGGGTGTAGAAGTGATTGCAATGGATTCATCTGGGGAAAGAACAAAATAATAGTCAATCAACGATTTGTGAAATAGATATTTTTAATCTTAGCTTACTGAGTGTTGCTTTTGACTTCAACGTTTTTCCATGATTGCATTGTTTGCTGAGAATAGAATCATGAACAGGTGGCCAAATAATCGACATTTCGACTTCTGAAAAGCTAAATTTTTGTTTAATGGCACCTACATAAAAAACATAACGTGAAAATAGATACTTTAAAAAAAATGTTGTAATTCATTACGTACCATATATTGTTTTCATTCTTGGGTCTTCATCAATTTTCTTAACATCGACATTCTGTTAATCTTGTTTATCAATAAATAGTGCGTTAATTGACTTTAAAGCATATTTAACTGTATTTTCTTCGGTACCTTGTATTTTTAATAATGAAAAAATAACATCATCCCTTCTAGTATATGCCTAAATTGGAACAATAGCAAACAAAGAGACGAGAGTTATAGCTAATCTGAATAATGCCGAATGTAGTTATGTCGACATACGTGACTCTTTTATTTCTTTTTTACATTTTTACTTTCGGTATTATTCAGGATAACCGAGAGTTAGCTCTCATCACATGTAGCCGATTTTTACGAAATAATGGACACTGCGATGCATCCAATTACATGATAATGCAACCTATTTAATGCATTAGGATGAACAATGCATTGCAATGCGTTATGTACAAATAATTCATTATAATGCATTAAATAGGTTGCATTATCATGTAATTGGATATATTAGTATATATAATGCGTTATAATGCATTGAAAGCTTCATACTCGGCACTTGCTACACAAGATCTATATAATCCTATTAAATCGATATCCTAACCGCGATAATTGTATCTCTGTGATTCTGCACATCTATTCCCTTAACTTAACCCTTTAACCTTAATCATTTAACTTATCGATATCTGTCCTCTTAACCATAACCTATCTCTCTAACTTAAATTAACCCCTTAAGTTTCATCAAACCTCGTATATATATATATATATATATCCAATAACGTATCATTTTGATTATATCGATAAGAATCTAAAACAAAAGACAACTAATGAATAAATATGTTTATTATTATTAAGTTCGAACTTACCATTTTGAACAGATCGATAAGAGCCTAAAATAACAGATAATGAGCCCATAATTTTTTTATTATTGAATTCAAACTTACCATTTTCATCATTTCACATTGTAGACGAAACCGATAGCAGTTCAAGAACGTATAGATGATTGGACGCTGTTTCAATAGTATGAAAGCTGTTTCAGCTTTGGAAAAGGAACCATCTCATAGAGGGAATAATTCATGATCGAATCGATTATAGTTGATACTGCGAGCAGTTTTAGTTTACTAGGTGCATCTGAAACTGAACAATGGCGAAGAGGAAAAACTTCTTTAGAGAGGTTTGAGCACTGTGATCTCTTTCATTCTACAGAATATTCTCAAAGCATTCAAAGCTCTAGTAGCCTGTCGTTGCACCAAATAGAAACTCGAGATCGGATTTTGGTTCGTTAGTACACATTGTTGCGATTGAGTAAACTCGGAAACTCTTCGACTTGCCTAGGGAAATATTTTGGAAAATGAAAGGGTAATCTGATAAACTTCATCAGATTTTGACTCAAGTATTCAATAGTGTAGGTTTCCTTGAATAGCCTAGTGATTTCTGAAAAGACGATTTGATTTCCATTATCAGGAAAAGGGGCTTCGGAAAATACTCTGAGCGTTATAACTCAGGTTACATTTTTTATTAGTTGTTTAACTTGCGCTACTCTTATTGAAAAGCGCCTGATACACAGAAAGCTGGATTAAATCAAACATCTACTTGTCAAATCCCTTTTTCAATATCTCTTTTACGAAAATGGTGAATTCTCTAACTTAAAAATATTACTCTAAATAATGCATTGAAATCCATTGAAAAGTTAAAATATAATTAATTGTAATGCATCAAGTCATGTGTTTTTTCAAATAATGAAAAATAATGGATCATTTTACCGTTATTTATCCATTATCGGCTACATGGGATACTATGTGCTAATAGAGAGTTTTAAAATGATAATTACTTGCTGATACAAGATCAGTTGAATCATTAACATTGGGAACAATATCTTCATCGTCAGCTTGAAGAATAACTGGAATCTAGAGCAAGAAAAAGAGTTGTTTGTCTTACTTTATGTCGTGTTAAACTTTTAGCGTTTTTTTTGATTTGCACACAAAATGTTTAAAAATCTCTCTTTGTGCTCTAAAGTGATTGTTGCCTGCTGTTGTTGTTTCTGCAATTTCAGCATATTTGCGTTAACTTGTTTAATATAATTTAATAGCTGCTGTAAATCGAGTTGTTGATCTTCAACTTTGCCTTCGTCACGATCGATTGTAAAACGTAAACGTTCAGTAACAGGAATATTTTGCTTTGGCTTTGATACACGTTTTTTGAAGTTGTAGTTGATGGCAACGGTGTTAGATGTAATGGTTCATTGTGTGGCAAATCATTGTCTTTATCATCTAGTGAAAATCTAAAATTGCCATCTTCTTCATCGTCATCCGAAGCAAATGAGTCATGATCAGTTTCTTTTTCACCTAAAAATACATAGTAAAAAGACCTGACTGAAGAAATACTGGTTTATTACCGTCAATACATGCATCTAGTTTCACTCTATCATCAAGTTAGTTAGCTGTGGGTGATAATAATAATGGTAATGTTTCAATTGGTTCATTAGTAGAGAATGATGTTTAACCTGTTTACAGAAAAAAAATTAAACATCTTTAGTTGAATACAAAGTGCTAATGAACTTCATGGATGCGATCAAGGCTCCTAGGATACAGTTGAGAATTGTTGAAAAGAGTTTTCTCGGAAACATTGTAGTTGATGTTGGTTTACTTGATTTGCACATGAATGTTCTTTATTTGTGTGTTTTCTTGTGACAAGAAAAAACAATCGCTATTCGTAAAAGATCGACAAGCACAAGGTAAAAAGGATCACAATAAAATATGAAAAAATAACATGTATAAAACAAACACCTGTTACTATCTTGTTTTTTCTTGTTGGTCTAAACTAATCAACCAGTAAAAAGGAGCAGCTGCCTAATTCGACTGCGAATATAAATGGAAAAAACCACCTTCATGCTTTCACACCACCGTCAGAAAAAGATTTAGTTTTTATAGCTAATAAAATTTATAAATTGACTTGTGTGTGTGTGTGGGTGTAGACGCGTATGTCTGCCTTTCCTCACACCCACACCCAAACAAAACGAACAGAAAGAGTCGCCCGTTCCAAGTTTTTTTCGAACTTCCATTTAAAATGTTTTCATGGTTGACTGCTGATATATTTGACTAATTCTTCGCCAATGTTTCTTTTTCCCTTTGGATGTGTTGGTTTTGCACCGATTTTTGAGAAGCGCCTTTTGCCATTCGACAAAACTTCATCATGAAAAGGATGAGAACACCATATTTGCGTTCTATATGGAATACTATCAGAGAAAAGTACGAGTAGGAAAAAAGTAAATAATACAACGAATGAATATTTGAAATGATAACGATGAATCAGACACCTTTCCAATTTACGAATCAGTGAATATCAGTAAATAAAAGAGCCTTCACTATGTAAAATACATTTAATTTGTTGATTGGTATCTATCCAATTGTATACCCTTCAGCTAAGAACTTTTGATAAGTACCAAGAATCTCTTTTACCTTCATTTTTAACAAAAATAACTACACATTTATTCACTTATACGTTACAAATGATTCGAAATATAAAAAGGTTGACAATCTTCTTCCTGAAATTAGAGTTCGGGAGAAAACTAATTAATGTATGTTATAGAGGTGTGCTTATCTTATGAAATCACTACTGTCATAGTTTTAAGTTATTCGATCGATTATTTTAATTAAATCTACATGTTTTCTTATTCACTTTGCATTGCATGCATAAAGCATATGATGACAAATATATGGCAAGGGTATTTATGAGTTCATATATTCACGCAAATTCTAATACTAATTACATGATTGATACGAATGCATTATCACACTAATAGATATCTATGAATAGTAAAGCACTGTCAGTTTTGTTTTAAGAAAAAATGCATATTTTTATATCTAATAATCATATGCCAAAACATGTAAATCTCACTTCACTAAGTTGCTCATGAAAAAAGAGTCGAATATACAACAATTTAGTGCCAAAATGATCAGTACAATGAGCTCTACAAACCTTGAAAATTGAAATCAATTCTAGGATTATTATTAAAGCTAGTGATTAGATATAACGAGTATGTTCATCAAAAATTGCAGTCAAAAATACTTTTTTCCACCTTTTCTCACCAGAATCAAACCGGGGGGAGGGGGGGGGCAACTATTGCATTTTGTAGAGTAAGCTTTGCTCTATCGAATGACTAGCGCCACTTTTTTAGGTAATTCCAACTCCTGTAGTAACATTTTTGAAATAACGTTTCATAAAAATCCTGTCACTGGAAAGAAAGAGGGTCCTTGAAATTGTTCATCAAAAGATGTAGAAATTTTAAGATTCCTAAGGATTCTGATGCAAATTTTCATGCTGAGTTTGAATTTATAATGAGTTTTTAAATTTTATAAAATATTGACGGAGTAATATCGATTTTTCGAAATGCTAGATGTTTTTTAATCACGAAAAAATTCCAAATAGCATAAAAAGTATTTCTTTCATAAGTATATGAAAAATGCATTAAACCCCAAAACATTTGATACCAAAATTATCAGCGAAAAACCTAAACAAACGCTGAACGTTTCAACAAATTTGGAGGTGGTACGCGGGTCGACCTGGTGAAATCCCATGGAATTACGCATGTCCTAACTTATAAACGGAGCGGTCGATTTATAAATTTATGAAAATGAAATCTAAATCTATTCCTAAATTTAAAATGTACTGCCAGTTAGATGATACTTTGCTTTTGATTTGGGTTGTTTTTAAATGGTCGCGATTTTTTTCATTTATTTTCGAATTGTGAATAGTTATTGTGATGTTAATTTATATTCGAAGCCGAACTAGGCATCTCATGGTAAAAAGTTAGGCTGAAATGTGTATGATATATACAGTACATATATTCTTAAATCGCTTTTCAAATTAGAAATTACTGATAATTAGTATTATCCCGTTCTCTGAGTTAAAAAAAATATTTAGTTGCATAAATCATCGATTTAATTGCAAGTTAGTGATAATATTGAAACTCGTCGATTAATCGTTGATATTCTTGAGAATCGGAATTGATCGCCCAAACTTTGGCGATTTTGACGATATGGGTAGTGAGCAGGCACTTTTAAAAAATATTCACGCTTTTTATAGCAAAAATTTATTGTATTTTAAAATTATGGCTTAGTCAAATCTGTCCGTTTGTAATTGCTCTGCCTCAGAATACATGTTTCCCTAAATAGAAAATGCGCAACACATATGTAAACAGTATGCAAAAAAACTAATTTGGAGATTAATATTGTTTCTTTATCGAAGAGCCTCTATTCTGTATCAAAATATCTTAGATTATATGTCATTGGGTAGAGAAAGCTAAATGTAATCAAATCATGTCTTCAATTCATAAAGTAAAAGACATATAGATTGGTAAGTACAATTAATATCTGATATAGGAATTTCACTACATCATATTCTGCTTGGTTGCACGAAAACTATGTTTTGCTGAATATGAGAAAAACCTATTCTTTCAAGAACAATCTATGGGTGGAGAAAGAAAAAACACTAAATCCCTCTGTCACTTCATACGTGTGAATATATATAATTTTCTTTCCTTAATTAACTACCCAGGTATAGAAAAAGTGATAGAAGAAGTTGTTTTTTTGTTCGACTGTAAATTGTATTTGAAAGAATAGACTCTGATTCACTCCAAGAGAAACCTTTTCATGCTATTGAGCAAAACATGTTGCAGACATTTGAATTTTCTGTAAAGCTTTAAACAAGGGGGAAAAGGCAGATTTGGGATTTTGAAAATCCCAAAATCCAAAACGTGAATGATGGAATTTCCATCTGAATTTTTTTCTCATATGTAAGTCTCATGATTCTTAGAATATTCTAAAATTTTCAGCGCAAACGGACGTTTCCTTCTCAAGATAATGAATGCGCAAGAAATACTCATTTCACGGCACGGTCAGAAAATCCAGTATTTTTTGAAAATTCAATATTTTAAGAAGGAAACATTTATTCGAGTTGAAACTTTTAGGATCTTTTATGGACCATGAAACCTATATATGGGAAGAATTTCAGGTCGAAACTACGTCATTCACATAGAGGAAATGCTTTTCAATTTATGGGACTTTTGAGATTTTGAAGATCCCAAAAATTCGCTTTTCCCCCCTTGACTTTTAAGCTCCTCAACAATCAATATTATCGACAATTCTAATTTAAATTACCAACGATTAAGTATTTTTTCTTAATGAATTTTCAGAAATCAACTATATGATTCGGTTTATTTTATTTTTAACTGTAGAAAAAGACACGACTCAAAATCTTTTGAGGCTGAAAAAAGCTTAGATAAAAAAGAATATCATACTTTTCTAAATATTTTTGCGTATAAAATCAAGCAGTATAAATAAAAGAAAGTTATTCGATACTCGAAGTAAACCTTCTTTAGAGAATGTTGTTCGTAAATTTGAGACTCTGCTGTATTTCGTCTTCGTAGGAACTGTGGATATGCTATGTAAATATGATTATATGACAACACAGGTCATATAGCATATAGGACATTGTATATCGAAAAATTGAATATCAACTTTGTTCAGTTAAATCATAGACGTATACAATCCGGATGACCGATTGAAAAAGAGAAGACGATAGGCTTCAGTAGTAGTATACGTTTATTTTCGATTTTCTTTTAGCTCTAATCAACTAATCTAATCCTAAATAGAAAGAAAATAATCTTTATTCACAAATCATTACAGCATGTCAAACCGCACCGCGACATCAAGTATCGACTCACAGGAAGATTTGGTGGCTACCTATTATCCGTTAACTTTGGTCATTGTTGGTACCGTATTAAATCTTCTAACATTTATTATTCTTTGCCGACCAACTTTTCGTGACACGAAAAAACAACCAATAATTCATTACATGCGTACAATAGCCATTTTTGATATTTTCATGTTGTATGGGTGGAATCTTGATCATTATCTTTCCAATGCTCATGGATATCTGCTACTAACGTATTCAATAGCAACATGCAAGTTTTTTGGATTTCTTAACTACTTTTCTGGGCAATCATCGGCTTGGCTTCGTGTCTTCATTTGTTTTGAGCGGTATTTATCAGTCAGTCGGCTTCACCGTACTTGGTTTAGTCAGCAAAAAAGTGTTCTCATCATTATTACAAGCATTATTGTCTTTTTCATTATATTCAATTTTCATTTTTTCATTTTTACTTGCTTTTATAAACCGAATGGTTCAATAAATCCCAATTCTCAATTATATAAAATATATCCACTATGGGATTATATTAATTTGGGTGTGTATAACTGTACACCTTTCATATTGATGATTACATTGAACAGTGGCGTTATTTATCGTTTAATACATCGTCGTAATACAAGCTTAATTCAAAATTCACCTATTCAACATCGAACAATATCGATTGCTTTGCTTGTCACAACATTTCTCTTTTTAATTATGACGACACCAGCAACAATTAATGCTGCATTCTTCTCCACAACACCACCTGATACACTGGCAAAAATATTAGATTCCGCTCTCTATACATATCATATAGCATCATTTCCACTTTATTTCATTACATTTGATGCATTCCGACAAGAATGTATCATGATGATCACGTGCCAAAATAATACTCAAAGAATTGCACCATCGCAGAATACTCCTGGTCCGATAAATCTACCGAATGAATTCTAAACCATGAATCAAAACATACAAACTATAAAATACTTTTGCTTTTTAATTTCTAAATAATTGAACGAAGCCTGCAGAATCTTTTACCGTTTATGTAATTGTATACTCATATATATTTATTCAATAAAGTTTTAAAATGTTCTTTACCTTTTTTTTGGTTAAATTTCTCAAATGCCTATGCAATGAATACTGTGCAATATTTTAAAGAGTAATAGCAGCTAAAAAAAATCCACTGAATACAAAATAATTGATAAATTATAAAGCTCTCTCCACATTGATTGACATCTCTTGTCTAAATGTTGGAAAGAATTCTATGAAAATTCAGATCTTTTCAATACAAATCAGAAAAAAGTTTTCATAAACTTTTGTGGAATTCACATATATTTTCGAAGAAAATAGTGAGTGTAAGTTGAATTGTTAGGTTTTTGCGGCACCCCTGTATCACACCCACCCCCCTCCCCATTACAGACATAAAACATAAAAAAACTAACACTTAAATGCACTAATTAGTAACTTTTTTGGTATAGGTCGCTTGCCTATATTCATCACTACTCACATCAGTAATAAAAATCTAGTTTCACTAATTAGAGATCATTATAATTAGGATTCAATCTCTAATTAATCATCAAAATCTGTCATTTTTATTATTATAGCCCATAGTTACGACAGTATCGTATATTTTTATTATGATAGACGTTAGCAACGAGTGTATGCTACCGCTACAGAAGCTAGCAACTAGTTTATGCTACTATTACACTCGTTACTTCTGCCACCTACAATAAACAGATGAAGATTTTAATATTTTTTTTCTCACACAAATACCTTAATCTAGAGCTTGAATCCACTTTAGTGTATTTACAATTCGTAACTTTTCCATCCACTGGAAAACTTTTATCAAATTTTCGGTTATGAAAAAATGTATCAATTTCTCACCTAGTAATACGAAAAAATATAAATTTTTCAACAATATTGATAGCTATATCCTAAATACTGTTTAAACTATTATCATTCACAATATTCCTCAATGAAACCACTAAACACTTCAGCATACTGACATATTTTTAACAAAAATTTTTTCATACGTTCTCTCTAGTAATATTTCCTATTGATAGATCCAATAAACTTCGAATGTTAAAAAGGTTTTATTATCTTATTTTTGAACAAAATATGATCTAACTACGTTCGACCTGTTTTTTTACCACCCTCGCCTTCACAAGACTTTTTACAAAGATTTATAAAAAATATCGCTAGTGTCGTGGTTTTCAAAACTTTGTTTTTGCGACGAATCGCGACATCTTCTCTAATTTCAGTTTCTCCCTTCCGATGTGTAGCGAAAAGCGTCAAAACATGCGTGGATATGTCATACAATATTTGATTTAGTATTTCACAAAGCAAAACATGAGAGAAACAAGTGCATGTGCATACGAGAAAAAACACAAACACTGAAACTTTTTTGTTCTGCGACGATGGTAAAATGCTGTATACTTCAAAATATTATTTCGATGGCCATATAAATGAATGCATTTTTAGGCAAGTCTTTACAACTAATATGATGAAAGTTCTTAATAGATTCATTTTCCTAAATTTGAATCAGATTTTTCTTCAAATAAAGTCTTACGCTGTGAAAATTCCAACTGGAAACTTCGACAACAAATTCTTATTTTGATAAGTTGATTTTAGATAGAATCAAACACGGCTCATTTCTAATCTTCTTGTAAACAACGTCCTATAAAAGATTCATTTTCTGATCGCTAAGCAACCGCATCGTTCGTCAACATTCTAGATAGATTGTTCCAAACTCAATCACAATTATGAAAGAACTTTTAAGATAGCCTCTTATCATTTCTAAATCCGTTTTACAAATAAATAGATATTAACTTAAACTTAAAGAAACACGAACTCCTTTTAGATGGAAACGACTTATTATCAATCAAAGTTGGAAAATCTTCCAGATGAGATTCTATTAGAAATCTGTAAATACTTATTATGCGCTGATATTCTTCTGTCATTTGTGGGACTTAACCAACGAATAATGCAAATGATCACTCAATATCGTCATCATACTTCATTATATAAAGCATCTATTGCAAAAAGTAATTATTTATGTGTAAATATTCTTCCTGAAATCGGTTCTCAAATTCGCTCAATACTCATTGATTGTTGCTATTCAATCTTACAAGATGATTTATTTATTAAATATTTTGGCAAGAAAATGTCGATAGTATTTCCTCAACTGGAAAAAATCAGCCTTGTCTCCTATCAATACAAACAATTAATTGATATTCTTAATAGTCTACATGATTTAAAGCATCTGGTTGAAATTCGTTTATATAATCTCTTTCCGATTCATAAATCTAATCAATTAATAGCTACTCCCTCATTGATGCAAGCAAATAATCATCGATTTACAACAATATTAATCGACGATGAATCAAGTTCGTTAGGTTTCAATCAACACGATTGCTACTTGAATGTCATCCGATTGCAAGTCAAACTACAAACAATCGCCGATCTGTCAACTCTTTTTTCCTCCATCCCTAATGTTCAATATCTAGACGTAATAATGGAAGAAAACGGTAGTTCATCGAGACATTTTGATGGATTGGATTTATCTTGTCTTTATCATCTGACTGATTTCAAACTCGTATGCACTAAACAGCCATGGATATTCGAAGATTTGCTTGTACTATTTGCTCAAATACCCAACGTACGATGTCTATCCCTGTTTCTTTTTACATCTGATACGCGCTTTATCCAAAGTGACATCATAATTTCTTCACTTCCTTCTACTATTCAACAATTCAACTATGCCATTTACCTACTTCATTTTACACCATTCGATCAAATTGATGAAATCATTACTACATGGTCACCATCTCATGAAGTTACATGTTTCTTTCATGATACATTCTTATTGGTTCATACATTGCCTTGGCATTTCGATCGCATTTCATTTCCAAAATATACCAGTAAAATAATGTCCTGCCGAACGAATATGATATCGGGCTATGATAGTAGTGTTAAACAGCTCGAAGTCAAGATCGATAAAAATTTCACTTTAAAAAAAGCTTTAGGAATTATATCGCAATGTCGTCGAGTGAAAGAAATTACCATCTATGTAACAAATTCAATTGACACTATTAAAGGTATTTACACGAAAAGCAAGACATTGATCATATAAAAATCTTGGAATTCAAAAGTATGTTTTTCACAGAGAAATATAGTAAACATGAGTTCTGTCCTCAAAGATCTATGCTTCTATGCCGTGTCTAGTAAAGCAAAAATGCGTTGGACAGTATCCCCGCTCATTCTTAATCTGTTCGCGATTTTCCAAGTATGAAATATCGCATCAATATGATTAGATTCATGTTTTATTAGAGATAAAAATTGCCTCTAAATATATTGGGCAACAATTGTTTTTATGAAAGTATTTAACTATTTTTAGCAGACGAATGTTCGGTTCCTGATATTCCTGAATTATCTCGACTTAGGCAAGTGGCTTTTTACGGGCCAATACCTTCTGATCTAGATCATTTCTTATTGGTTCTTACTGCCGCGCCCAATATCTGTCGCTTAGATTTACCTTTTGATCTTTTATGGCAATTAATCGATAATCAACAAATACGTCATATTCTTGGTCACCGTATTACTTCACTTTCCATTCTTGAAAATGCAACTAAATCGTCATTAGTAACACTCCAGCAAGAACATATTCCTATCATTTCTTCAGCATTCTTTCGAGTTTATGATATCTATGCTAATTTAGCACATTTAACTCACAATACAACCGTAGTCTCGACGAAAAATATTCTTGATGAATGTGGAGTTGAAAATTTAGTCACCCAGTTAGACCACGAGAAATCCGAAGTCTTCTCGTCATCTTCAACTGATTCAATGTTGGTATCTTTGTTGGCGGAATTCAAACACCATAAACTCACTGGTCTCTGTATTACTGGAGAGTTCTCGGAAAACATAAAAGTCAACACAAAACATTGGTTAAAACACAATACAATTCTAAATGGTCAAGAGTTTGAAGCTATTTTCTGCGATGAATTACATCGATTACTGATTTGGATGTGATAATATTTGTTTTATGTTTGTAGCTTTTTCTTTACTAAAAAATTTCTATTTATAACTTTCGACATTGTGATAGCTACAGAGTACAAGTGAGCGACGGAAATTTTAGCAAGATTCAATACTCTGAAATATTCAATCCAATGAACTTTCATGCCACGAACTTCTCACTGAAAAAAACTAGTATGGTCATTCACGAAACCTACAAATCAAATGGTATTGAACAAATAAATAACACTTACTGCTTGATAAGAACTTCTCAGGAAATGAAAAATACAATTACATTTTTAGAAAAACATTCGAGTTTGCAATTTTTTTTTGAAGCTTTGATTGAGTGTTCAGCCGAAACCATTATGATAGTCAGACATCAATTCTTATCATATAATAGATAGTATTAGAAATGGGTCTCTCCATCATATTGGCACATGTCGCTGTTAAAGAAGCTGACGATTGATCGATTCAAATTATTTTCTTATATTTTTTCTTTTGAATTTATCTCATCTAAACTTATCTTGAACGGATTTTTGGTATTCATTTAGAACGGCAAAGAATTTCCTGTTACGTCAATGATCTCAGTGATTGCAAAAGCAATATGTAGCATCTCGATGATGTCTAACTACACTGAACGGTCTCTATTGACATTATTTTCGCAAGCATCTTTAGGTTCGGATTCGTAGTGGTTTGCGTGTATATCAACCTATGAAAAAAAAAATGATGAAATGACATTCTTGCAATATATAAACTAATGTAGGATAGTGTTCTATTGGAACTTCATTGAGCCATGTTAAAAAATCCTTTTTTGGCAGACGAAAACTCTTCACCAAGTGATGATGATGAACGAGAAATAAAAATTCAAACAGCAAAAATGTATGTCTTTTCTTTATCAGTAAAATGAAACTCTTTTTCTATTTCTGACGATATTCTCTTCAGTTTCGCCAAGTCTTACATTATCAGTAGTGATAATGGCGAAGAAAATGTACAACGAATTGTTCGAAACGAAAACCAAAAAAGACAATCATACTTTCAAGTATTAAGAATAACACAGCTCGATTTCCTATCGTAGATATGAGGAATTATCAATAGTAATTAAAAAAATCAAACAAACCATACGCATTCATGATATCAAGCAGAGATGCGCACAGGGCAGGACGGTCCTGTTGTTCTGGTACCCTGCCCTATTCTGTAGGACAGACAAGGACAGGAGAAAAAGTTATGTTCTGTGAGCGTCTCTGGTAGGCACTTGTTTTTGTGTATTTTTCATTTGTTTTTGTTTTGTTTTGTGGTAAAACCCTGCCTATTTGTTATTGTTTCTTTAAATAGTATCAAGTTTAAGTTCCCAAGTCGAAAATTCCGGCCACCGGATACTGTAGGAACATGGAAGCAGTATTCCGGTCAAAAATACGGCCGGACTTTTCCGGCGGATTACGGTGCTTTCCGGCAGGAATTGATTGGAAAATTTTCCAACCGGAATACTGCTTCCACAAAATCAACGGAACTATCCGGAACCGGCCGTTTTCAGGCCGGATTGTTCGACCTGGGTTATCACATTCATGCTACGATCAATCTTGCTCATATTTGTATATTTTTTTTCTTGTCGCGAAAATTAAGATATTTTTGTATTTTATTGTATTTATAAATTAGTGATAATTTATTCATATTGTTGTTTTTAAAGAAACCAAATAAAGAAAGTTTATCCGATGATGAAGATCAAAAAGAAACAACTTGGATAAAAAACAAACCGGAAAATGTAAGAAGAAATCAGAAAGAATAACACATGAATTCTTTTCTTTCTTGTAGAATGGTGATTTATCACCACAGCAATATTACATCAACCTTTTTCTGTATGTATAAATTAAAAGAATAAGAAATTTATTTTCCATTTTTTATTTTTATAGGCGAAAAATCGACAATCAAATGAAAACTACGCCAAACCGAGCAACTAAAGAATGTACACATATTGAATTATGCACTGACCAAAAGCCCATATCAACTGAAGATGTAATGTTTAAATGAAGATTGATTTTGTATTGTCCGTTTTTGGTTAAATTTAGATTTCAAAACCCAAAAAATTACATAAAGAGGAGGAAATTTTGAAAAAAATAAATGATACTATTTCTATGCGAGGTAAACATACTACGAATTATCACGATCAATTTAATGACTGGAATATGTGTCGAGAATATGTTCAAAAATTGATTCATTAAGAAATTATTTCGAATTACAATCGAATGAAATTATTCATCCGGAACACGTATGTACGATTTAGTTATGTCTTATTGCACATATTTATTATAAATTTGATAATACACCTAATCGATCTTCAATGGAATTAATTGATCGTCTATGTAAATATATTTATATCAATGATAATACAAATCGTATGCATATACGAGCAATTCTCTGTCATACATATCATTTAGCATTACATGATTATTATAACCAAGCACGTGATTTAATGCTTATGAGTTCCATACAACATACCATTTATCTTGCAGATATTTCGACACAAATTCTATATAATCGAACGATGATTCAGCTAAGTTTATCTGTATTTCGTTTTGGTAACATAGATGAAGCTCATTAAATATTAATTGACTTACAAATTTCATATCGTATGAGAGAATTAGTGGGACAAAATATGCAGATGATAAATAATGCTGAAATGAAAGAATACGAACATTCATTACCATTTCAGACGCATAACTAATTTAGAGCTAATTGCGTGTATTTATTTAATATCATCAATGCTTATTGGAACCCCATCGATTAGTAAACATTTCCATATTGTTATGCGTCAAGCAGAAAAGCAGCCTATGTTTGAAACAAAGGAAACCATGCGAGAACATATTATTGCGGCTAGCCATGCTATGAAACTAGGTGATTGGGAGAGATATGTTAAATGATTAATTAATGATCAAATGATTAAAAAAAAGTAAGCTTTTGAGAGATCTACTCGAAATAGTTTTGTGTTTTGTGAAGTACGATTTTCCTAAATCAAAAATTTAATTTAACATGTTTAGATATGAAATTTGATGCCACAAGGAACAACGATGTTGAAAATATTGATACAAAAAATTAAAGAAAAATCGTTACGTATATATTTATTTAGCAATGGAATGGTTTTTTCTTCTATTTCAATACCGAACTTCCAAGATATGTTTCAATTACCGATTGAACAAGTACATGGGATTGTTTTTAAAATGATTATGAATGAAGAATTGATGGTATGTGTCTAATTTTTTCGATTGCCATGCATAGACTAATTAATATTGTTCTTTAGGATTCAATCGAAGAGAGTAGTCAAACGATTATTCTAAATAAAGCAAGATTGTCAAGAATTCAAAATCTCTCAATTGAATTAATGGAAAAAATCTGTCGATTAAACGAGCAGAATGAAAAGTTAACTCATTTTTATTCACGGCGACGTCAACAGCTTTTAAATTAGACTTGATTGTCACACATAATATTTTCATAATAACTACTCGTTTTGTATTCTTTTACAATAAATCTTTATTTGCTTTTTTTCTTCTTATTTATGATAGTCGATTGAGATAATATAAGAAAGCTTTTAACGCCACTCACCCGTTGGACAACGAAGAAATAACACAGAATAACAAACTTATCTTCAAAAAATCAATTCGACAAGGCAAAATTCTATCCAATTCATGAATATTAATATTGGAACTGAAACTCGTTCACACTTTTTGAGAATCTTAAGAAAGCCTAAAGCAATTCTACCGGATAGTTCCACAATCAGCTAGGTCATAATTTATATTCCTAACGAAACGAAAGCTACTTTAGAGTTGCCTAAGAGAATACATGTTATAGTTATACTAATGCCACCAAAATGCATGAATACAACTGATTCAGATGTTCATACCAAGAAACACTCGTTTTGAACACGCATATGTTCATAAGTCTTTTATTAATGATAGTATTCACGCCATTACTCGCACAATATTTGTTTCAACTGCAGTTGGATCTCTTTTCTTTTTTAGAAAGGAACGAACGTCAAGCATCATCTTTAATATTAAGATTATTTAGAAACTCCTATCAAAATTAGTTAATTTCATGGTGACCATGAACGATTAGCTTTTGAAATTTACTGTAGTTAAGCGAATCTATCATTGTCGTCTCATTGATGATACAATAGGGTAGGACGCTAAATATAAAAATGATCTTAAATCATAAGATTTATAAAACAAAAAAATGAATAGACAAGAACTAATATAATCATAGTCTATAGATAGCAGTTTCACTATAGAAACAGGCTAATATCATCCACCGAGGCATGTTTTTCAGGACTTATTTCTTAGCATGTTCATTGAAATCGATAATTGTTTGTTTCAATTTATAGCTTACTTCAAGTTTGCCCAGCAGATACATGTTAGGATTGTACAAAGTTGAATCAGAAAAAATATTGAATGATGAGATTATCAATCAATTTTTGACCGTTCAAAAAAAAGCCATAGTTCTAGTGAAAATTCATTATCGGATTTGTTTCTACATGATAAAATCAAAAGTAACTAATTCCCAATCTGTCTTTTTTCAGTTATAAAAATAATAAAATATCGATCTTCATCACTAACGCAGTCATTTTCAACATACCTTTACCTTCTGATCCTCTACATTGACGATTTTTGCATACTTGCCTTTTCATTGATGATCGAATTGTCCAATAGAATCATTACTTTATTTCAGCCAGATTTTGTGGTTCAGATAGCTTCAAACTGGTAATTTTTTCGTCAGATGATAATTAACAGTAGATAACTGATGTTTCGATTAGTCCAGTATGGTATTAGAGGATCGCATCATGCGATAAAAAAGCCTTTTTTATATACAAGTAAGATTGAAATTCTAAATACTTTTACCTGTTTTGACAATTGATCGTTTCTCCAGATGTTCGCATGTATCTATCCGATGGTTATCAAGCATTTGATAAATGGGATGAATCATTATCGACTGAAATTCTACAAAAAACAAATATAAGTTCGTATGAAAACCTGTCAAATACAATCAAATTAATCTGCTTCTTCTTTAAGGTGAACTTCTGATTGATGTCGAAGATAAATTAATCAGAAAGAAATATGTCAGTTCACTCGATATCGAAATTGTAAGTATTCATATAGCAGAGCAAAATTCTTCGTATGGGGGAGTTTTAGATTCTATCAGAATTGAATATTCATTCCTAAGATAGAAGATCTGTGTTACAGAGTCGTATAATGCATTCAGATCATAAAAAGAATCGACCAATTCTCTATCTGAATATACTAATTTGAAGTACTTTAGCTTGCAGCGAAATTAACCAATGTCGAAACAACTGAAGACCTTAAATTGGCAGAAACAATTTTAGAAAAGTAAGAAAATACTTTTTCTTTTCATTTTTCAATTATTGTTTGACAAACTATTTAGATTTCGTCGTACTTCAGAAGCTCTTGAATTTCAACCTTCATTAGCCTATTCACTTGTTCGTAATTATCTTGATCTTGGCCAAAAAGAACGTCTATTGCCTATTCTACAAGATAAAGTAAATAGATATTTAAAAGCGAACCATAAAATCTTTCATGAAGTAAATACTATTTTATTTTTAGGTTAAATATGGAGTTTTTCTTGATCGATTTTCAGCTAATCTTTTGTTGAATTCATTTTTACTTGAAAAGAAATACAAAGGTAAAAATAAACTTCCTTGTCATTTTTTCTCAAAATCTAAAAACCACAATTCTATTGAAAATAGAAGCTACACAAGTCTGTACAGATCTTATGTTACAAGATGAAGGCGATGATCGATTAACACGTGCACTTGGTTTAAATGCATGTTATCATTTTTATTTAACAGCAACTGATGAAGATTTTAAAAATCTACAAGAAGAAGAAGACGATGAAGACATTGTAAATTTTTTATTTCATTTTCGTATTTATTTTTCACTTTTTTCAGGTTAAAGTAAAAGTTAATTTTGTTCGTAATCATACAAACGATGATCATTTTGGTTTGATTGATAAACGTAAATTACTTGGTAAAACAATTGCCTATCTCAGTCGAGAGGGAAACAATAGTAGTATTATTTCATTGCAAGTAAGATGCGTCCCGTTATTTAGAATTTCTTCATAGAAGAAAATTGTTCTTTTAGATTTTGGGAAATATTCTTTATAAAAAATTTGGTCGTATTTGTGATGCACTTCAAACAATATTAGATAATAATGATTTACAACTTGACGAAACAATTGTAACTGAAGAGTTTTGTTGTTTGATATTATTTATTCTCGTTACTTTTATTAATAATAGGCGAAAACTTTGGAAAAAGAACTTGATGAATATGTCTATGATCCTATTGAAACCAAAGAACGTTTACCTCAAAGTCCTTATCGACGTCTAGAATTGATTCCTGAAGCTGCACGAGATATTATTAAAGTAAAGAAAACTCTAGAATTGAAATAAATGAACGAATGAATTTTATTTCATAGGAAAAACTTTTACCACAACTTCGTCAACGGAATAAAATTGTCGCGTTAGATCTAAAAGAATTCGTTGAAAAGAATCTTATTGAAATAGCTGCACTTGCTGATAAACATGATACAAAAAAACATGAAGAACAATTAGCTATTTGGACACGTGAAAGACAAGAACAATTTGATGATCAAATTCATCGTTTTGTTATTGAACAAAAAAAATTGAATTTATTCGAACGTCTTCGTTTATTAGAAGAACGTGATGAATTATTAAGCTTTTTCGAAAACGAATCACGAATCATCATGCATTCGCAAGATAAGACATTTGCGGATGAAAGTTTTGAGAATGTTCGAACATCTGGTGAACATGAATACTTTGAATTAGCTCGCAAACATTATCATTGGGATCGAATGGAACCACGACGATCGTTCCATCTTGATAAAAAACTGCGTGATGAAGAGATGAGTGATATAAGAAATTGGCCACCATACGAATATCTTGCTGAAAATTGGAAATATAGTCTGCTTGATTATGTTCCATTAAATGAAAAAATGAAGCGTCGCAAAGAAAACTTACCTCCAAGTGGCAAACCTCCTTATTACAAACAACACTTTTTCTAAGTAGTTCAGTTCTTCTTTTCCATTTGTTGCTGTTTTTTTGGATAAGAAAAATAAAAAATCACAAACCATGTTAACATTGTCTGATGTAATTGGTGACAACAAAATGATTCAGAGAGACTCAAATGGGCATGCATTGATTTGCAGTCACATAGTTTGAATCTCAAAGTTTCATCATTATAACCGATTGATTTGTCGCGCAGAGAAAATATTGATGAACTTTTGCATTTATTACATGTTCCTAGATTGTTTAACCTTGCAAGCTCTGGTGTACAATAACAAATTAATAAAAACCAACAACGGCCAAGAGATATTCTTTTTTTTTCAATATCTAGAAAAATAGTTTGATCAGTTAAACAATTTTAGTAAATTATAAATAGTCTTCTTCATCTTTACTGATTGAAGTTTATCCACGGATTTTAACGCATAAAATATTTTTCAGATTAAAGTAAAAGTTAATTTTGTTCGTAATCATATAAACGATGATCATTTTGATTTGATCAATAAACGTAAATTATTTGGTAAAACAATTGCTTATCTAAGTCGAGATGAAAACCATAGTAGTATTATTTCATTGCAAGTAATTTAGAATTTCTTCGTAAAAGAAAATTGTTTTTTTAGATTTTGGGAAATATTCTTTATAAAAAGTCTACGAAGTGATATAAAATCAGATGACATGATCTGCGAACGTTAAGTTTGTAAACTTTTAGTCAACACTACTCTTCGAAATTAATCGCAAAATAATTAACACTATCGATTATAAAAACCTTGTATTCGATGGGATCTGTACCTATGCCATGTAATTGTCACAGTTGACATGAGAATTTCAGTTAAGATTGAAATGCGCGAAAAGAATCATTAATTGAAAAAATATATTTTTCTTTTTTTTATGCCTCAGATAAATTCAATGCTCCCATGTTCCCATAGTTAAAAAACTAGACAGAGTTGAACTATTTAAAAACTCATTATAAAAAGATGCAAGTATAATTCTCAATATAAAAAGTTCTAAAGTCAGATTTCAACAAAAATTCTATTTAAAAAATTAAGAAAGAAACTATTCCAAACAGAGATGCCAGCTTGGCCTGCTCGCCTGCCAGGCCAGGCTAACCTGTCTAGCCTGCTCAAAATTGACTAGGAATGATTTTATCTGATGAATTCTGTATTACCTATCTAGCCGATAATGTAAAATAATGGACATTATTTTCCATTATTTTTTTAATAAATAATGGGCATACTGTAATTAAAAAGCAACCTATTTCAAGCACTATGTTCCAAATAATGGGAAAATTTTCCAATAATCCCTTGTTTTTTAATGAATTATTTCAAACTTTACCATTATTTCCCTGCAATGCATTATAAATTATAATGCATCAAAATTTAAAAATACAATGGAATCTAATTAATTAAAAATTTTCACCCTTTCAATGCACTAGATTCCATTATATTTTAAAATTTTCATGCATTATAATTTATAATGCATGCAGGGAAATAATGGTAAAATTTGAAATAATTCATTAAAAAACAAGGGATTATTGGAAAAATTTCCCATTATTTTACATTATCGGCTACATGGATAGGTATCGTCACGATCCATTTGCAAATTCAGAAAAAAAGACAGCGAATAATGATTGGATTGAATTTACTCCCACGATTATCACTAAAAGTACAATAAAAAAGCTAAATCAAAGAAACGAAGACAAACCAGTCAATGCATTTTAACTTTTTATTACTTTATAACAGTTCATATTTATAAATTGTTTTATAGTGGTTGTTTCTTATGTGAACTGCTAGCGGTGTTAATTCAGAGGGTTTTTATTTTCTAATATATAAAACAACTTTTTTTATATTATTATTGTTAAGAAAAGAAAGAAATAATCACACTAATCCTCAACATCATGACCAAAATTGAACCTAATGAATATGTTACTAAAATACGCATAACGTTTTTGGTTTCAAGTATGTCTGCAGGTCAGGCCAGGCGCCAGACCAGGTCAGATCCGAAAAAAGTGGCCTGTTGGCATCTCAGGTCACAATGATGCTTTAGAATACATTGGACTAGTCTAGATGAGGGTATGTGGACATACGAACTAGATCCCCTCAAGAAAACGTTTGTCCGACATAATAGAAGACCCCCTATAATTAATTAATTTTCTGTTAATTACGAACTTTAATTAGCGTTTTTCCATCAAAATATGTCTGATTCTTAGCATTGTAAGCTGGAAATATTAAGAGAATGTGTTCACAATTATAATGACATGCTTAAAACCCTGAGAATCCTGATGGAAATCCTGAAAATCGCCTTGGTTTTCTGGAAAATCTTTTAAAATAAATATTAGGAAAAAGTGCGGTTCTTAATACAAGACTCCCTGGAAAATTTTTACGCTGCAACATAATAGAAAATCCGGGGTCTTTTATTGTGAGGGGGGGGTGTAGTCGCAATAGATATGGAAGACGTATTAGACTAGACTTGACGGGTATAGCAGACTTTTCGGACTAGTCCTGTCGCCCGTGCTCCCTATTTTCTTGCTCATTTGGGAAGAATCATTTGAATATTTTACCTGTGTTATATGATATGATATTTTTTTCCGGAGTTTTTGTGAAAACTCTTTCAAGATATAATGTGTTTCATAAAGTTTAAGTTTTATTATTTACAAATTTATCGGCATTTTCACAGATTTTTTAAAATCTTTTTATTTTTATCGCTATGTAAGGTGTCATGTGTAGCTGTTGTATTAACATCAATAATCTTGCAATATGCACACGCACCATGCATTAGACTGGTAATAACAGTCGACTTTGTTAATCTATTAGACATTTAAAAATAGTTCTTCGACGACTAGGTCCTCGCTAAGTGTGAATCTGATCGTGCAATACTTAGAAGCCGCCCTAGTGAAACATCTTGTAAACAAGATCTTGAAATCTTGGGATTGATAAGTAAGATCTTATCAAGATCTTTAAAAGAGAATTCACTTTTTCAGATCTTGTCGTATCAGATAAATCTGTATCTAAGATCTTGGCAAGATCATGAAAAAGATATCGTTTACTATTATCTTCTCACAAGATCTTGAGTAAAACAGAAAGCGACATCATTAGTGTATTTACATAGGCTATCTAGTCATTCACCGTTTTTTATGCATACATAAGCTATATATATATACAATATAATTGAACATACGAAACATAAATTTTCAAAAATAATTTTTTTTCTAAACGTTTTCTCGATTATTCGAGAGAATGCGGATCTCGATCAATGATCCGGAGAGGACTACCCTAAATTGGTCTGACGGGTCTCAGACTAATTTAAGGCCGGTCAGATCCCAACATCTCACTTGCTTGAGTTATTCAGATTAAAAAATTATTAATATGAAAATAAATTGAAAAATATCAAAACCTACTTTTACAGAAAAAAGGAAAACGGCACTGTATGATAGATTCGAACCGTGCTTTCAAAATGCGTCATCCAAGATCTTATGGATTTTTACCCAAGATCTTGGCCAAGATCTTGCTTACAAAATATTTCACTAGGGCGCCCTATCATACGCATAGTAAATAGCATATGTTGTTAAGCGCTACTGATCACTTCGTGAATGTAATAATAGACATTCTTCTTGATGTATACGATCACGAATTTCACGTACATCATTGTTGTCTGAAGGATAAATCGCTTCGAAAACTTTCAGTGCATTATTGAAATAGTCGACGGCTTCTGTGTGTTTACCCATGTTAGACAAAATATTTCCGATACTAATTAAACAAATGCCGATACTTGGATGTTCCGAACTATAAATTTGACGTTGCAATTCGAGCTGACACTTTCGATTTGTAAGACTATTGTCGTAATCGTTACAGGAGAAGAAAACATCACTGATCTTTGCCAGACATTCGATTATGATTTTCTTGTTACTAGGATAGAGAAATTTAGCAAATAGCAAAGCTTTTCTGAGTGTTTTTAAAGCATATTTAAATGATCCAGATTCTGCATGCAATTTGCCGATTATTAACCGGGTTCGAATTGTTAGAGCGTGAATTTCTCCAAATGTTTCTTTTTGTGATTTCAATTTCTCTCTACAGAATTTTAATGCAAATTCAACTTTACCCATTTTCATATAGATGCGAGCAATCGATTCAAGGTTTTCTGATAGTTCTGGACAGTCAGATAGCAAACATTTCTCTTCCGCCATCTGCTTTCGCCGATAATAGTCCATAGCTTTGTCTAAATCACCCTGCTTTTCGTAGATTTTTCCAATAGAGCCCATACAAATAGCTTTTCGTGGATCAGCTTGATCAGGCACCAAACGTCCACACATACTCAATGATTGATTGAAATGATTGAGGGCTTTGTCATCGTCATTTTTTTGCATATATGCACTTCCCATGCATCGTATTGCAGTGGCGTTGCATACATAATCATGAGGAAAACTCTTTTCATACATGGCGAGAGCCTCACTACAATATTGAAGACCTAGATCATATTGACATTTTTCTATGTGAACCATACCAATATTTATCAAGGAAGAAGCTATTCGGTGATGGCAGGGATCATGTTGATTTTGGCGCATCTGATAAGCTATTTCATGATATTTTAATGCCAAATTCAATTCCTTTTTCTTTAAATAAGCACACCCAATATTACTGTAGACACCTGATATATCGGGATGGTCAGGTGGCAGTGTCCTTAACAATATTTTGAAATATTGCAGCGCTTGGTCCACTTGACCGAGTTCTTCCCATAAGAGAGCACCAAAGTAAATTAACGGAGTGTGAGCTTTCATTTCTTCTTCCTGTAGCTGTATATACTGTTGCAAACGTTCATCACCTTGTTCAGTAGCTATCAGTTTTATTCTCCACAAATTAAGCATGGCATCGAATTCGACATTCCTGATTTCAAATGTTGTACCTAGAGAAAATAACACTTCCTTTTCGTCTGGAAAAGAACTTGATTTAATGTCAGCCATAATGATTGTTTTGAGGCATGGATCAGCTTGAATTTCGAAAAGAACGCCTGTCATGGTTTTTGAGACAATATTTCGAGGTGCGAAGGCCAGAGCAACATTAATACTACGAGAAGTTGAAAAGAAACCGTTTGTAGCAATGAGTTTGCCTACACCACTCTTCAGTTTTTTGAATTCCTCGTTAGAGATATTTTGTCCGCGATATAGTGTCAGCTCACCAGCATCTCTCCATTCTTCATGTTCTCGCTCGAGTTGATCACAAAGATCAATAATAAAAAATCGAAATAAGTAGATCAATTCAATGTCATCAGTACGAAATGCTTTGTTCACAAGCCCATACAGGAAAGTTTCAGTTGTATACCATTTAATTGCATCCGTAGCATGATAGTTCTGCTGGAATCGATTAATATTATTTAATTGTGTACTATTTCTCCGATTATAATCTAAACATTTACTGAGCATATCATTCTTTGCTTGTTCATCATGAGGCATTTGACGTAAAACTATTATTAAGAATTTATGCCAGAGAAACGATGCAGCTTCTTTTGATAGATTTCGAGTCGATTTTCCATCGGGTTCACAGAGCGAGAAAGCCAGTCTTTCTTTTACAACATGTCGCAGTGTGTCACGAATAGTATGCAACAGAACTTGTGGATCATTAAAAACTTGTGTAACCATCCCAGAATCATTTACAACGAGCTCTTGATTCTTTGGATTGTTGGAGAAAATAAAAACAGTAGTAATCGTTTGTAATGAACATGATTCCTTGAGAATGTACGGAGCGAACGATTCAGAAACGATTAATAAGATATGCTCGTTTTTTATGGATTTTATCAGATTGACACATAGCTGTAGATCCGTGTAAAACTGTGCGTTTGGATGTAATTCCAGCATATCATGCTGGATTTGAAGAGATTTGTGGGAATCATCAATAGTTGCATCTAACCATATCAATAGAAAATCCTCCTCGTTCCTAGCCATTTCGATCGGCAGTAGATTTCGACGAATGATGACATCATTCTCTTGTTTTTCTTCAGCTTTCATTATAGAGTGACTACTAAAAACTGCATGAGTAGTTCTTGTTGCAATACCGAAGGTTTAAAGAAAACTTGTATCATCTAAACTCAAACCGAATATTTGAAGTTTCATATATATAAACTCTACTGCCACATTGGTAGGGACCCCTGTGCCTTCTTGATGTTAATAACGAATGAGTACCATAACGATGGACCTAACTTTCTCATTGAAGACAGAGGAATACATATAGAGGGAATATGTGCCCGGGAATGAGTAGACAAATGTCGATGAGTCAAGGAATAAACATATGACTGTAACATATACGGTATATATATATATATATACGCTGTCAATAAAATTTGATGTAGTTTTAATTGTAGGCTCTGTCGAACTTTGATTTTCGACAGCAGACTTATACTGTACTATTAGCATATACACATCTTACAATGTAATTAGAATACGTTGTACATGAAGTTTTATCCGGTTTCTTTGACCAGTCATCCTATTCCACAATGTTGAGCATTTCAGAATCAGTTCTATCAATTCTGGAATTGGGTCAAACTTGAATTTTATCCGCTTTCGGAATCACTTCCAACGATTCCCAGAATTGCACGGAATTCAGTCCAATTCCGGAATTCCAACTTCTATTACTATTCAATATTCTCTTATCCGTGTAGTAATGATCAGATTCTGGACCAGAATTCTTGTTCAACATTGTGGAATAGGATGTATTCTTTGAATTGGTGGAAAATATCGAAGAAAACTCTTACCTTGGACACTTCAGGATGAGACAGCTACAATTATGTAAATACATTCTCAACAACAACCTTACAGTATAATGCAATGGTTGCCGCTTGAAAAAAGTATCACTTACGTGCCTTGTAGATATTTATGACTTACTATGTTGTTTTACTGCGGTTTAGTGCCTACACTGATAAAAAAATCCGGGTATTGATTTACCCCTGCGCTTAAAAACGTCGCCATTTAACCCTTGAAGAGCTTATTCCGATATGATGAACCTTTTAGCGTTTATTAGTCGAAGGGTTTATGACGTTATGAGTTTATGAAAACTCAAGGGGTATATGATGGGTACATAAGGATTTGTTATTCTACGATTTTAAGATAGGAGTATATCCTTCAACGGATGATAGTAGATTGTTGTTCGCTATCAAGGTAGGGGTATTTTATTCTTCGTTATCGGGTTTACTATTTTACTTTTTCGCTAAAAGGGTACATCACTCTGCCTGTCTGGGTAGAGTAAGCTACCCTTTATCAGAAACAGTTCATTAATTCTACGCCTAAAGGTAGATTCTGCTACCATTTCCTGCTAAGGGTTGAGCATTCCACGTTCAACGGTTGATTCATCCACATCTTAATAA